TGAGTCCAACGGTTGTGGTTTCATCTGGAGACGACACCTGGAGGAGGGAGATCGGAGCCTCCAAAGGTCCGATCGGATCTCCCTTTTTACCGATGATGAATTTGACCTCCTCTCGGAATTCTAAGCACATCGGTTGACTTGCAAGGTTGAGGGAAGGATTTCGTGGTGGTGAGGGCTTTCAATTCTTCCTAGATCGGCCAATTTTTTTTGTTTTTCCAAAACGGGTCAAAAACGGATCTCTTTCGATTAAACCGTTTTTCGTTGTCGTTGGGTCGCGATTTTTGAATGGAAGCACTCGGGGAGATGGGCGATCGGGTCCGTAGTGGTAGATCTTGTGTTGGCGATCGGAGTTGAGAGAAACGATCGAGTATTTTTTCGAGTCGAGTCGTGGTGGTGTAATCTTCAATTTCTCTCTCCTCCATGAGTGTTTCTCTCTCTAATCGGTATGGATCGGTCGATCTAGTGATGAGTTACACGTGAGTGTGTTGATCGGGGTCAAAACGGATCGAAAAACGATCGATTGGAAGATGAAACATTCGAGCTGGTTAAACGGGTTTGGTGTATGGGTTAGGACGTGTTTGGCTCTTTTTTTTCGGTATTTTTTTTCGCTCTCGGTCGCTTTTTTGTCCCCCCTCCCTTTGCAAATCGGAATCCGAAAGCTTTTTTATAAGCCGAAACCTCCTAAAATCTCTTCCAAAATCAATCAATTCAAATTCAAATTTTAACTCGTCAAATCTTAATTTTGAGATTTGATTAGCTAAAAATAAGGAGATTTAAATTTGAAAAAAGATTAGTGGAAGATTTCAACGGATCTTCGAATGATTTAAGAAGATTCAGTTGATTTAGGAAGATTTAGTATTATATATATTTTTTCCTTTTTTATATTTTTGTATTTTTTGTACTTTTTTTTTTCAAGGAACCCAAAATTGGGTTATGACACTCTTCAATAAAATAGGATTGCTGAACGAAAACATAGAGATATTACTTAAACAAGTCAAACATTGTCGAACATTCATCTGCTTCCTTATCCTTATGGGAGGAATAATTTCACATAGTTTTCTTAATCAACAGATTACCCACTCCTCTTTTACAAAATGTTTCTCTTTCAAATCCTGTTCAAAAAACCACCAAATTATTCATTCCTTAAAGTCTTTGGTTGTTTATATTTCTCAAATCTTCATGCATATACCACTCATAAATTAGAATCACGGTCCAATTCTTGTATTCTTTTGTGATATAGTTCACACCAAAAAGAGCATAGATGCATGACAATAGTAATTAGTAGGGTATACATCAGTCGCCATGTCAAGTTTATTGAAACAAGTTTCCCTTATGTTCACATGGTGATGAGCTCCTCTTCTTCTTCAAATTCAGAACTAAAGCCATCTCGTAGAAGGCATTATTTATTTTCCCCATTAAACACCGCTTCTCTTCCACTGTCATTTTCTCAATTCCAATGTATTCCATCTAGAATTTTAGAAACTCCACCAAATGTTGCGCCTTCCCATACAAATATTACACCTACTATCATAATCTGCTTTTCACCAACTACTGCCACACTAGCACCACCAAACACAGCCCAGCATCCCCTACGGTAAACACATACCAAATACGCGTTAGAAGCAAAGATGGCATCTATGAACCCAAAACACATTTGTCCTTATCTGTTACTAGCCCCGTCTTAGTTCCTATTGAACCCTAAACTATCATAGTAGCTCTCAAAGATCTTTATTGGCAATAGGCTATGGCAGAAGAATTTAATACCTTGCTAGTAAATCATACCTAGACTTTGGTTATACGATGTGCAGATACGAATGTGATTGGATGTGAATGGGTTTTTTAGATAAAACATAAAGGTGATGGCTTTCTTGGCAGATATAAGGTAAGGTTAGTGACCACGGGTTATACACAACAACTTGGTGTAGGTATCTTAGATACCTTCAGTCCTGCGGTATGCCATTCTACTATTCATATTATTCTTACTCATGTTGTTTCTAACAACTAGTCTATACAACAGCTTAATGTCAAGAATGCATTTCTGTATTGAGAGTTAACTGATGCTATTTACATGAGTCAGCCTTTTGGTTTTGTTGATAAGAAATATACCAATCATGTGTGCAAACTGCACAAGGTTCTATATGGTCTTAGGTAAGCACCTTGTGCATGGTTTTAGTATTTTAATGGCTTTCTTTTAGCTCATGGTTTATGCATCAGCACCTCTGATTTTTTGATATTTGTCTATCACACTTTTATGGGCTCTTTGGTACTTTTATTGTATATTGACCATTTTGACTGGTTCAGATGACAATCTTATGATTGGTTTTATTAACACATTGAAGAAGGAATTTTCCAAGACTGATATGGGTCCTTACATTATTTTATTAGCTTACAGGTTACTAGAACATCAAATAGGATGTTCCTCTCCAGCATGGTATGCATATAATCTTTTAGTCAAAGCATAAATGTCACATTACAACACAGTTTCTTCTCCTTTTTTGGAATGAAATTATCAAGTTCTGAGGGTACACCTTTGTCTAATACTATCGAATTCAGAAGCCTTACTGGGGCTTTGCAGTATCTAAGGCTCACGCGTCTAAATATTGCTTTTGCCATAAATAGCATCTGCTAGTTTATGCACAAGTTTACTTCCACTCATCTTTAGACAGCAAAACATGTCATTTGATATATTGCTAGCACATTGGATTATGGCATCTCTATTAAACCTATCAAGCTTGCAGATCTTGTTATACTCTCTAGCTCTAATCAGGCCGGCCACCCGAATACTAGAAGGTCTACCACTGGTGCTGATTTCTTCTACTCAGGTGTATTGGTTTCTTGGATCTCTAAATATCAACATACGGTGTCATGATCAAGAACAAAGGCTTAGTATTGAGCAGTGGCTGGTAGTTTAGCTGAATTAACGTGGTTATGCAATATTCTTTGTGAACTAGGTGTACCATTACACAAACCTCCTCTTCTACTATGTGACAATGCCAGTACTATTTATTTGATAGCAAATCCATTGTATCATGGTCGCATAAAAAACCTGGAAATTGACTTCCACTTTATACGAGAAAAAAGTTGCTAGTGGAGTAGTTCAAATTCGTTATGTCCCTATTGACTTGAAAACTGCTAATGTACTAACCAAAGCCCTACCAATTCAGCAATTTGAGACTCTGCAAGACAAGCTTCACATTGTTTCTTCTCTTATTTAGCTTGAGGGGAATGTAAAGTAGTATCTCTGTACTCATCATGTAAACATGACCCTTGGTATTCTAGGGGCATTTTTGTAATTTTCAATAAAGGTGATTTTTGGACTTTTTTTTTTCTAATTTTTTTTATTTGTTTTATAATAATTTTTGATCTTATGCATATCAAAAAATCTAGAGATACTTAGGCGTGAAATTTATTTTAATATATAATTTTTTTTATAGGATTGAAATATTGGATCAACAAGTCTCCTATTTATTAAGGACGGACGGTGATTTCAATATATTTAATTGCTTAAAATTTATTTTAGTTGATTTTAGTTAATTAAAATTTTAGAGTTCTTTTTTTCAAGAAAATAAGAAAATATATATATCCAAAATCTTTGACAAAGTCTCCTATCCGATAGGGATCGACGTCACCAAAAAGAATACCGATTGTGTCAAGAAAGTGGATCCGATGTTTGAACCGACGTGTCGCCCGACGAAGAGGATCGACAATCGTTTTAATATGATGCCACGCTAAAAAATAAGAATTTAATTTTTCTTTTAAAAAAAAATAGGAGTTTAAAAATCAAAAAATAATTCGACATAAGTAAAAAATTTTAAAAGATAAATTCGGAACTAAACCGAAGTGGGACCTTTCTTCGAAAAGGGAGCTTTTGGGTCTTTTGGGTGATCGATATCTTCCCAAAAGCGTAACCAACTCCTTGCTATAGAATCTCTAAACCAGGTGCCTATTTTAGGTTCCTAGTTCCTTCAATACTAGGTGGCGACTCCGAACTGTAAATAAACTTGTAAATATTCAATTAAATTTTAGATATTTTTTAGAGTCTCGTCCGACGTCGAGTAGCGATTGAGAGTATGAGGAGAAAAGGATTAAAAGAAAATACCATGATGTAGAAGATAATGAGTAAACAAGTGATTGATAAACTCTCCACCATTATCAAAACGAAAATACTTTATATGTTGAGAGCATAAGTTTTCAACATGTAATTTGAAAGGGTTAAAACAAGCAAGGGAATCGGAGTTGAGATGCATAGGATATAACCAATAAAACCTTGAAAAACCATCAATAAACAGAATACAATATTTAAATAATGTGACAGAAGCAACAAGAGATGTCCAAACATCGTAATGAACTAATTCAAGAAATAAAAAAGTAAATCTGGTTCGTGTAGAAAAGGGAAAATTAAACGTTTTTGAAACATAACATGAAGGATGATGAAAAAACAAAAACTTTTGAAGTTGGAGAAAGACTTATGGTAGACCATAATTGATGAAGAGTGGCGGAGTGTGGATGACCAAACGTGTATGCCAAACAAAAAAGGTAAAAATAGATAGAAAAGCTTGTTATGGTAGATGGAGATACCAAAAAAGTAAGAAGGGATAAATATGATCATTACTGGGGCAATGTAGAAGAATGGCTCCTACCTGTGAGTCTTTGATTAAAAATCTCCCTGCATAGAATTCAAAGAAACAATTATTATCATGAGTAAATTGACGAACAGAAATCAGATTTTTTTGTTAATGAGAAACAGATAGTATGTATGAAAGAGAGAGAACATGAGAGAAAGTAAATATAGATGCATTACCAATAGATTGAAGAGAAATTATTCAGGGGTCCTAAAACTCCACATCAGATAAAGACCTCTTCCATTTATTATCTGCCATGTGTATAATTTTTTACATGTAGGATAAAACAAACCCTTTCATTAAATAAAAAAAATTAACTCTTCATCTTCTTTCTCTCTCTCTCTCTCTCTCTGTGGGTTCCAGGAAAGACTTTCATCTTCATCCATCGTCTTTCTCTCCTTCCTCCACCATCTCTCGCTCCTTCATTTCTTGCCAACGAGTAGCCTCTTTTCTGGATTTGATAATATTTCTGGATTCGAATTTTGTCTTGGTTTGCAAGATCATCTGAGTTAGTTTCATTTGAAACTAATCCAAAACTATCACTTGAGCCTCTTTTCCTTTTTGATTCATTATTACTGTTTAGACTGCCTTTTCTTTTGATTGGCTAACTTCGACTGTTTCTTGCTTATTGTCTGAGGCTTCACCTTTGTTTGTTGTCTCCTGAAGTATACCTGCGTTGGTTATGTTTAAACCATTTGAAAGTGTCACGTCACTTAGAGCTTTCAAATCTATCAATGAATTTCTGGACAGGAATTTTCTATCATTGACAGCAGAGAAAAGAGAGACCAATACTCTACTAGATGGAAATTCGAAATATTGAACCACAATAACTATAGCAGTTGTTGCTCCCATTAGAAAAAGCAATTTCTTTGCTTTCGCATGGCACAAAAGTTGAAATCCTTGATCCATGAACATTAAATGACTTCTGATCCAAACTAATGGGTCGCCAAAATCAGTTCTGTCAGCACTGTAGAAGTTCCAAAAATCTAGTTGTAGTAAGAAAATTGTTAGCATCATATCAAATGGCAATTCGGCCAAAAAAAATCTGGCAATTACTGACTTCTTGAAATTTTCTTAGCAGATTAACTCGGTAAATTATCTTACAGACTTCTTCACAAAGTTCGTTCATAGCGATAGATAGCTATTTGATTATCTTTGCCAGGTTGATTTGCATTCTGTTTCATGCATTTGAAGCATAATTCTCAGCTATTTACTTTAGCATTCATGAAAGGAGTTGAACATCCTGTTTTTTTGTTCTGAAATTGCAGAGTTTGGCACAGAATCAACGGGATGCTATACAGACATTGGTGGGACGTTGAGTTATGTTTTTTTGTTCTGAAAAATTAGAAGTCTAGTTTCAAAATAAAATTAAAAAAATTAGTTATTTCCTTGAATTTTTTATTTTCTGTGAGCATCGACAGCAGCAAGACAACAAGAAAAAGGATTACAAATTGAAAATGGAAGATTCTTACAACAAAACTCAAGGTAGATTTTACAAATATATTTTTAATTGGTTAAGTTTAGAATTATTTAATTTACATATTTGTTTTCTTCCTTGTTTGTTTTTCTTGTGTAGGCATATGCTCGAAGTTAATGTTGATGATGTGATAATAGAGGAGAATGCTCTTTATGTCAATAGAAGTCACAATGATGTGATAATTTGATGGGAAAAGTATTCAACAATAAGGAAGAAGCGTATAATTTTTATAACGAGTATGCTATTAGAACGGGTTTCAGTGTTAGACGTTTTAAGCTAAGATATAGCAAGTGGAAAGTCTCATGCAATTCACTAAAGGGAGTTTCGATGTTCCAAAGCTAGGAAAGTTGAAACGCATCCCCTCTCAACAAATCAACGTAATAGATTTGAAACAAAAAATGATTGTGGAGCAATGATCGGATTAAAAATTAAAGATGGTTTGTGGGTTGTCACACACTTTGTCTCAATACATAATCATGAACTAGCTTCACCTTCCGAAGCTCACCTATTGAGATCAAATAGAGCATTAACAACTCCAAAGGCTAATGTTATTAGCACAATGGTTAATGTCGGCATAAGAACGAGGGATGCTTTTGCTTATATGGCGAGAGAAGTTCGGGGTAGTGAGTACCTTGGGTTTACTAAGAGAAATTATTATAACTTTGTTGGTAAAGAAAAAATAAGGTTGATTGAGCCCGGTGATGCACAAAGCTTAATTAATCATTTTAAGAAGAAGCAAAGTAAAGACTCGATGTTTTCTTATGATGTGCAAGTGGATCAAGAAAATAGAATGACAAATTTCTTTTGGACGATTGGGAAGTCATTCAATGATTATGATTTTTTTGGTAATGTTGTTGTTTTTGACACAACGTATCGCACAAACAAATATGACTTGGTGTGTGTTCCATTTGTTGGTGTTAATCATCATTGGCAAAATATCATGTTTGGATGTGCATTTTATTGGATGAAACCGAATATTCTTTTACTTGGTTATTCAAGTCATTCTTGGATTCTATAGGAGGGAAAGCACCAATTGTCATTTTTACCGATCAAGACCAAGCAATGGCTAATGCGATTAAAACTGTTTTTCCTAACACTTGTCATCGACTTTATTTGTGGCACATTATGACTAAGAATGCTCTAAACCATCTTCGTGGTCTGAATTCAAATCCCGATTTTCAAAAGTTGTTTCATAAGTGCTTGAAAGGTTGTGAATCCGAAACCGAGTTCGAAGAAACTTAGGAGAAAATGTTAGATGCCTTTGATCTTAGAGAGCACAAGTGGTTGAAGCAATTATATGAGAAACGCGAAACCGAAGCACTCGCTTTGTCTAATGATTTCTTTTCAGCTGGATTTTTATCATCGCAACGGAGTGAAAGCACTAACAATGTTTTGGGAGATGTAGCAAACAAAACTACTTCACTTAAGGAATTTGTTAAATCATTTAAGGAAATTATTAAGGGATGGCACTCTTCCGAGGTCGAAAAGGATTTTCATTGTAAGCAAAGTAGGCCTCCTCTAAGCAATTAAAGGTAGTGGGATTTTAAACCATGCAACAGAATGTTTATACTCACAAACTTTTCAAATTGTTTGAGGAGGAGTTCAAGAATGCCATAAGAAAATTTTGGTTTGAACTATCTTCCGATGATGGTGTTTATGAATTTGAGGTTGGAGGAATGGAAGGCTCAAGGATCCGTCATGTAAAGTTGGATACGTCCACCGTGGAGATAAGTTGTTCTTATAAAAAATTTGAGTCTATGGGTTTGTTATGTCGTCATGCATTGAAGATCTTGATCATTAAGAACTTTGAAGAAATTTCAAATAAATATGTGTTAAGTAGATGGTGTAAAAATACAAGAAATAGATGGTTTGAAGAAGGGACGTATAATGCTAGTGTGGATGGTAAGAATGATGATTATGAGATGATTTACCGAAATAACATGATACGGAATGCTTACAATATCATCTTGAAAAGTTAAGGAAACGTAAAAGCAAGAGAGATTGTTCAAGATGGACTAAAGAAGATTGATAAAGATATTGAGAATGAATTAGCCAAATTGAGCACTTCTTTAGATGGTCAAGAAATGGAAAATGAAGTGGATGATGTGCAAAATGTAGAAGAGACACTTGATGTTAATCCTATCTTGAACCCCCTCACGCAAAGACACAAAGGTGTCTCCAATGCAAGATTCAAATGATACTTAGAAAAATCCAAGAAAAAGGCAAAGACAAAAGCAAAAGCAACAATCATAGGTTTATAAAATAAAAAAATGCCATTTGTCACTTTTATTATGAATACCTTTTAACTTATAGTTTCATTTTCATTATAGATGTAAATAAAAATATATCTAGATTATTATCCTTTTCAATTATAGAGAAAAAGAGAGGTAAAAATTCTCAATGCAAAGTTCCTACAAGGCAAAAAACAAATGACCAAGATGAGGTACTCTTTTAATCCATTACCATATTTCTTACATGAAGTTTTATGATATTTATAATTTATTATATATTCTTGTCTAGTCGGGATCCTCTCCAAGTATGAGCACACATAACATTCACAATTTTCAATATCATCTTGCAAGTTCGATGCAAATTCCATACTACCAAGTACCACCACATATGCATATGTTAAGTCAAGTTGGTGCCCCTTCCAGGTATACACAATCTTTAAATTTTAATTGTACTGCATTCATTTTTCATTTTATTTTTAGGCTAATTAAAACTATTATTTTTATTAGTATTGGGATATGGGAGGTTCAAACATGCCATTTACTACAATATTACAAGGTGTTGAGCCTATAGTACATTTGAGTCAAGTAAATTACTATAGTTATGTTTTAATAATAAATTTTTTTTCCAAGTTCAACAATGCGTGAATGTATATATTTGTTTGCAGAGTTCATCTTTAAATACTCAACTTATAAATACAACTCCAAATGTAGATGATTGATATAAAGAAAGTGGTATAAGTAGTTCATTGCAAATTGAGACACTTTTGTGGTGATGAATGAAAGAGACATTTAGGGTCACCATTTTCGTTGCTTATATGGCATATTGAGACCTTTTTTGTATGTTGAAGAGGACATCCTATTATTATTTATTATAAAATTGTTAATTATATATCTTCATTTTGCAAATCATGGATTGAAGGTTGAATAAGTAATAGTATATGGCTGCAGCAATATATATTCATTTAAACTTTTAGGGCCAACAATATGGGAGTATCAATTTTACAGCCAAAAAATAGAATGTCCTTGAAAAATGAAACTCAAAACAATTAAGAAACTACGAATCTATCATATTTTTCGTCGAACAAAATTGGAAAAAGCCCTCTTTTATATCATTCCTATGTACACAATTTAAAGCAGGTACAAATGGAAAAAAACCCTCTTTTACAGATAAGATTGCTGGGGCACTGGAAAGAAACATGACACTTTTGTTGTTGATAATTGGCCCTTTATTTCAAATTTATATGCATCCACATAACAAAGCTGCGGACCATATCAGATTCATAATCTTTGTGTTATTGGTGCTTTTAGCAATAAGGTAGTCTCGGAATCCAACAATGCCAATCATCAATTCCACATTTCCTGAAATGGAAAAAATCCTCATCAGCGGTTGGATTCTCATTGATCGATTCCTTCCCTGAAAGTAATTCAAGCAGAATTATTCCAAGACTATACATATCAGTCTCCACAGCAACCTCTTTCATTTTGATAAGTTTGGGAGCTTTATTCTCATCAGCGATTGAATTATTCTCCACAGTGAAGGAATTAGCAAGTAACAAATCTAAGGCTCTAGGATAAAGTAATCACTTCAATTTTCAGAAAGAAAAGCACTAATAGGATAACATGTAAAACATTTTGGTCGGAACAAAATAAGATGCTAATTTCATTCCTATTCAAGGCCAAACTTCAACACGGTTCATGATGTACTAAGGATGGATTAATATTTTTTAGGTTGATAGCCTTTGGTGTGTGATAAGTACATAGCTCAAAACTATAGAGGTCTCATTGAATGTCAGCTAACTCACCCATTGAGGAATCCATCCTGGTAGAGTGTAATACTCTGGCTTAAACAAAATCCCAGGATCACATTGCAGCCAACCAGTTCATAAATCCTGCAAGACCACAAGTTTCTTTTACAGTGAACAATACACCTATTAGGCTATTATGCAATAATAACTAACATTTTGTCAAACAAATTACCTTCCTTGGACATGTTAGCCACTGAAAATGCCCCATGATGTTTGCAAGCTATATAAACAGACATAGAATCAGTTAAAAGTTTAAGAGTACTTGATGAGGTGATGAACGTGGCCATGACTTGCAAGAATGTAATGACAGCCGATGAGCATTTCTAACAGCAATAAGGA